CTGTGGGGGGCCGGTGCTGGCTGCAGCCGCCGCGGGGATACGGCGGGGCTGTGCCCGCGCCCCTCCCGGCGGTGCGGGGCGGGGGGCGCCGCCGGTGCTGAAGGGACAGCGCCGCGCTCCCGCCTCCGCCCCTCCGGCCCGGGTTGAGCGCTGCCGGTGCGGGCGGCGGGACCCGCGGCGCTGCCGCTGCTCCTCCCGCTGCCGCCGCCGCTGCCGAGCGCTCGGTGCAGCCCGCCCGCCCGCCGGGCACCGCCGCGCAGGCGCCGCTCCCGCCCGGTCCTAGCGCCGGCCGCGCCCCCCCGGCCCCGCCGCCCCTCGGCCGCCGCGTCCCGCGCTTCCCCCACCCGTGCCGCTGGGACGAGGATGTCTGCTCCGGTGCCCGCTGCTGGAAGGAGAGCGCCCTCCTCCCCCCACAGCTCACCTCCCGAGTCGCCGGCCTCCTTCCCGCAGCGGGGAGTCCCCTCTGGGGGGTCTCCTTCGCGTGTGCGGTGCTGCCCCGCGCTGCGCTCTGAGTGACCCTCTCAAGCACCACTGAAGTGAGTCACGGTTGTGCTCGTCCTGCCGGAACTGGACTCGCTGAAGGGCAAAACTCAAGATCAACCCAGGCATAAATTTCTCATATCATGAGCGGGGGTGCCCAGGGGTTTGTTATTTCTTATCACGCTTTTACATGGTCCTACATATCTGCTCCACTTCTCCATCTTTTCTCCTGCTTTTCCTACTGTTCACTTGTTTCTTTTCTGACACTGTTGTTGGTAGGAAGTTGCAATTTGGGTTTGTGTTGTTTATTCTTTTTTTGTTCTCCTTCATTCACAATGAATGCCAAGGGACGTTTAAAAAAAAAATCCAGTTCCTGGTTTGTGAGGAGCTTGAAGAATAGCAGGAAGATGGTTGTGTGGAAGGGAAGTAAGTGACAGAGGTATGTAGACACGTCCTGTGTTTTGTTTTATTTGCTGCCAGCATCTCAGGAGGAATGGACTTATGGGAGAGCCTGAAGAGCTGAGCCATTGTGGATTGATCATGGGAGGTCATGTCATGATGAATGGATAGAGTGGAGAAACATACAATTGAAGGGTACATGGTTAAGGAATACTGCTGGAGTGCAGAAGTGGTAGGGACAATACCATACTTAACAGAAGAGTGTAGACTAGAGGAATGCAGTTAGGTTGAGCTTTGAAGTAGGATAGAGATTCAGATGTGTGGGAACAGTAGGTGAGGAACAAGTAGAGGGCTGTCAAAGAGCTAGTGGTGTGGTCAGGTTTGTGAGAAGAGGTGTTTGGCCACTCACAGCTTCTTTGGGTTGCAAAAGAGCATTGCATGTTTGGGATGCAGAGAAGAAAACTTTGCAGTAGTTGTGGTAGGATATTCCAAAGGGGTCTAACCAGCAGTTTATCAGTGAAAATAGTAACAGATTGGTCTTGAAGCTGGTGGGGTAGAAGGAAGGCCTGGGACCTGGTGTGTGACTCCTGGGAAAGGGGAGAGAGGACACTAGGATGTTACTGTTGTCAGCAGCAGTGAAAGAGAAAAGGGAAAGTGAGGCTAAATCAAGGCAACTCTGCATTTTAGTTAGCAAAAACTGATGACAAAACCTCCACGAAGAGATGCCAGACAGCCACTTGAGCACTGGGACTGAACAGAGGCAGAAAGGTTGATGACAGAGGGAGAATATGAGAATCACAAGTACAGAAATGCTTTCTAAAGTCCTTGAGAATTGCCAGCCTGAGCGCACAGAGGGAGAAGAGGGTAGGTCTGTGAACCCAAGCCTGGCCTTAAGAAAGGAAAAGAGGACGTTCACTCACTGATAGAAATCATACACACAGAAATTATTTTTTAATCATAGTAAGTCACTCCTTTTGATAATAATAGATCTGGGGATCAATGGGAAAGCACCGTAGAGTAGGTTTTGAGAGTTATGAAGGCTGAGGAAGGCAGGTAATCCAGGAAAGAAGTTAAGGGCCTCTAAATCCTAGTCTAGTGGATCCTTCTGGTCACATCCACAACTCCAGAGGCTCTTTCCCGGCTCATTAGCTCCTGCCTTCCATGTTACCTTACTCCCCTGAATGATTCCTCTTTAGGAATTTCAGTGTTGGGAACTAAGGTGACTGTGGGGATGAAAGGGATATCATGCAGCTTCTGTTGCTTGGATTTCCCTTCTTGTCTGGGGAACTGAAAGAGAGTGGTACAGAACCTCAGAAGTCATCTGAAAGTATATATTAAAAGCTAAAAAGCTGGTTTAAAGATAGTTTTCATGGACTAAGGTGAGGAGGCCACACTTAAGTGACCTGCAAGGTTTCTTTGAAGATACTAAAGCTGTAATTGAAAAAGGAGTGTTAGTAGAGACAGAAGAGTTGGATATTTCAAAAGACATATGAGAGGACCCCAAATCAGAGATTGATGGGCGAACAGGAGCTTGTGAGATCTGGAGCAAGATAGCTACTGAAATGGAAGGTCTTTTAGAAATATAAATTGGAACGTGAAGTTTATACATTACTTTGTTGCAGAAGATGAAAGATATCATGTTTGAAGCTTATATTGAAGCTTGAGAGGGAAAGTATTAGAAAATAATATCTTTATTTAACAAGGATTGGGGCACAAAATAACTGCATATTAAGACACAAAGACTTTGCTTTGTATGGTAGACTATAGCATGATTTGCATTTGTTTGATTAGTGATAGCTGATACCACCAGACAGGTGGTTTGCATGAAATGAAAGTTTTAAGACAGTCTAGCAGGTGCTGTGAGCAAAGTTTTGCTTTAAGCTTGCCATATAATGATATAAAATTCTAGCTTAATTTAAAAAAATAACTTTCTATAATTAGAAATGTTTGGACTATGACAGGCAAAACAAATCATCTAATTTTCCAAGATCTAATTTGCAGACAGAAAACTTCCATGGAAGTTTGGTTCATCCCAAACAATACAGTGGCACTTCTGTCCTTCTAGTCCCACTGAAAAATAACAGTATTATAACTGCTTTTTGTTCTGGTTTATGTTTGACGCCTTTAAATGTTTAAACATCTGATTTATGTTCAGCATCTTTAAGGAGGACTTAATGTGAAGGTGGATGTGTAAGTCCAGGAATTATCTAGTTTTTCTGTGATACCACTTGTCATTTTAAGTTAACTTAGTAATTAACCTTACTAAGTTTTGCATGTTAAAAAGAACTAAACCAACTTTAATAGTGCTGGGAGCCCTCTGTAGGAGGCACAGAGTTAGTAGGTTATGCAAATAGTTCACAGTCAGTTTGGAAAAGGATTCTGGTATAGCAGCAGCAGCAGGTGGTGTTATCAGAATTTTTTAAAACGTATTAAAAGCTATTAGCCTTGGAAATACGTTTTGTTTCCTGAGTTCATTTTAATAACTGGTGAGAGATTTTGATGATCATCTACACTGAACTGGGGCTGACTAAAACCTGGCATAAGTGGAGAAAATAAGCTGTAGAGTTTAGAAAGGTGTCTCTGAAGGCCTCCCTTGTGGGAGCCTTCTGAGAGACCAGAGTTGCTCAGCTACTACCCAGGAGAGTATATATGCACTTTGAGCAGTCCTTAGTCATTTGGTCTACTTATAACCTTAGCTGTTCTTCTAAATCAACATATTTAATGGTGGCGGTGGAAGAATAACTTCAAACCATAGATATTATTTAGTTTTTAAACTACTGTGTAGCAGAAAAAGACAGCGAGTCCCCTTACTAATTTTATCACTCATGTTAGGTCACCTCACTGTGACCTCTCCTGTGTTCTGATGACACAGGAAGACTGAGTCCTTCTTTCACCTCTATATCTGGTGTACTGGGATCACCTTTGCTGCCCTATACTTCAGCATCCCCAGGTAATCATATACAATGAAAGGCAGGCTGTCTTTTAGACAGAAGTCTAAATTCTGTCTACAAACTAAAAAATAGCTAGTGTGGGTTCACTGTTGTTAATTCTCCTATTCTCTACTTACTGCTTTAGCTGACAACTGCAGTGATTTCTATCTAACTCCAAAGGAGCTTTTTTTTCAATGTGTGAGATGACTGAGCATATATTCCCTAGCATTCCTAAACTTAGTAACTCATATATTTAAAGTGAAATTTTAATTTTTTAAAAATTGGTTTTATTTTTCATGAAGACATTTTACCACTTACAGAAGATGCTGGATTGACAGAACTGCATAGGCACAAAGTTGCACATAAGGAGCTGTATGCTTTGGTACTTTATTAGTGTATCAAGAGTACCTGATTCTAAACACCTCTTTAGCCTCTTCCTTCATAAAGATTCCTGGTGAGGATACCAGCAATAGTGACAGCTAACAAAACTCTTGCTCTTAAAATGTAAGCCTAGCTCTGAGTTCATCAGCTACTTTATCTTCAGAGAAAAACGTGTACCAATTGTAACAATTTGAAGAGGGGAAAAAGGATGTTGAGAGAACCTGTGACTTTGTGCACAACTATGAATGCAACTGGAGAGCACATTCAAAATGCTTTTAAAGCTGGAGGAAGCTGAGAGGGAGAGAATTATTTGTAAGAATTATAAACTCAAAACAAAAGGCAACCAGGGCTGGAACACCAGTTTTGCAATATATGAATGCTATAATTCAGCCTGTGCTCTCTTGCATTAAATTCATGACAACTCAACAGTATTTCAGTGCAGTTCTTTATCAGTTTTAGATTACATCATGCTGTGAATTGCTCTATCTGTTAACATTGATCATTGTAAATCATTTGGTTTGAGGTCTTCAAATGGAAAGCTGGGATACATTTCAGCATGCGATGTACTCACTTTGTCCTTGAAAAATCATTTGAAAATAAAGGAACTGCAATTGCATAGATGATATTACTTTCCTGAAAGGTTAGATTTGCCCCTTTGAGTTGTCATTAATTGAATGAAAGCCTTCCACAGAAAGAATGAGAATGGAGGAGAAAACTGTTGGTTGATGCTTAATGTTGACTGCGGGAGTCATAGAGATGCTGCATGTCTGAAGAGCTGTGTAGCCCAAAGCCTGATGCAAAGAAGTCTTGATGCTTTTAATGAGAGTAACTAGAGCAGCAGAAGTAATGGCTAAATGCTAGTTCCAGAATTTTTATATCTAGATTTTTCATTCTTAATTACTTCACTTTTGCTTGAATATGTACTTCATGTTCATCCATGTTCTTCAACTGTTGCATGGCTTTGCTTTGAGTTGAGAAGTATTTACTGTGCTCTGCCTGCTGAGTTGCATTTGTTTTTCATCCATTTGTACTGGGCTGACATTTCCGAGTGAAGGTTCTTCTTGATCTGCAAATTCCTTTGGGATCCTTCAGAAAGTGCATATCAAATTGTGAGATAAATGGAAGTTGCTCTGGAAAAAAATGGAAGAAATATTGTGACATGAAAGAGATCATCACTGGTCTTTACTTACTCCATTAACTGAGAGAAACTCCCACCTGAATTAATTTGGTTTTGCTGAAAATTTATGGGAGACAGAACCGAGCAGATAAAATGATGGGAATGGTGCACACTAGCAAGACAAGGTGGTGGAAGGAGTATTCTGCTGCTTGCTAAAGGACTAGAGGTGTTTCCAAACTGTCTTTCCTGTAGGGAAAGAGAAGATTTCTTCTTCCTGGCAAAAAGGGTAGTGAGCACTGTAAACAACTGTTGAGTTTTCTGTCTCACCCCCAGCATGTGCTTGAATGGGTCAGACACTGTGCTTCTCTTGGAGCACATCCTCTAGTCAAGGCTGTAGTAAAATTGCCAGGATTTGTGTTTGATGAGGCATTCCCCAAAACAGAAATAATTGTTCCTCAAGAAATCATGGGGCTAAATCACCGCAAAATCTATTTTAAGTATCTGAAATCAGGCACACAGCTTGGCTAATGCGCCACTTTGTTACAATGTGGACTTAAAGGAAGGGTATAGATTTGTCTCTTGTCTTCTTCCTGCTGATCTAGGTGTGATCCAGCAAAAAAAGGCAGCTGGTGATCAGGAAAATTCAGCTTACACAGTTGGAATTTTTGTGGCAGCGCATAACAAAACATACTTATGGAAGCTGGTAAATGTGTGTTACTATGAGCTGAGAGCAGCCATCCTGAGGGCTTGGGTCTACATTTCTGAAAGAGCACACATAGGTCTGAGCTATTTAACTCCTAACATGTGCTGTGACTAGAGTTTCAGAAAGGGCTAGGGATTTGGCTTTATTTTATTAGATGATTTGTTTTGGGGAGGCCTAAAAGGTCCTTGAGTTTTTTAGACTGACCTAGCCAGCTTTTTCTGAAAACAAAACTCTACTAATGCTGTCATTATGTTTTTAAAAGCTCAGCCAATTTGCAGGTGCACGAACATAGCAACAGACACAAACACATAGATACAGACATATGTATTTCACATCTACTATATACAGAATACAGAACAGGAGGTGCTAGTCTTTTCTTGAAAAAAGCATGCACTTCTCAGTGCTGCAAGTGTATCTTTTTCATTTAACCAGGAAAAAAAATAAATATTAATGTCTGTTTCTGACCGAGCAGTATGGAACATTATCTATTTTATACAATGTATGTGCTTGCCCATCAGCTGACTATTTCTCTAATAATTAAAAAATTTCTTTCTTCACTTTTTTAATTGAAATTAGAACTTTGTTTTTGTGTAATGATTCACTTTTCACAGCTGTTATTACTTCTTCAGCCTACTCTGAGTTCACGATAGTAACTGAAATGTTCTCAGAAAAGCAGATGGGAAAATGGCCTGTAAATCTTTATTGTTATAAACGATTTGTAAAACTTTAGATGTTGAAAGGCAAGAGTAGTTTAAATAAATCTCAACAATGCTGACTCAAAGTTTAAAGCATTGCTTAAATCCCTTGATTAACCCAGCTTCTCAATATTTGACATGAATCAATAACTCTGAGATGTCTTTGCTGTTCTTTAGCTTTGTAAATATTTACGCAGCCAGTCCCGTGAAATGTGACATTTAATCCTGTTGAAGTAATTATTCGTATGCTGCATATGAAGAGATATAAAGTATAATAGTTCCAGTGATGCTAGTTAAATAATTGGCACTGGAGATGAAATCTGCTGCATTTCTTTTGTCAATAACCAGGATTTATACAATATAAGTGTGAGTGAACGGAAAGCAGAATCCACCTTCTGTCACAAATCTTGGACCAGCTGCTGGGAATGCAGATTTCCTGATCCTGTCTCATGCCTAGGCCTGTGGCTCAGCATTAACAGCAGCCTTTTGTTCCAGTTAAATGAGTTGTTTAGAGCTAGATTAAAGGAAAGAGTGAAGGGATAGCACCTCCATCAGCTTGTCCTCAGCCTTCTCTTGCTGGCATAAACTATAATGAATGGTCTCTGTTCTCCAGAAAGCAGGAAGATGCTCTACCCAGAGTTTTCAGGACCTGGGAAAGCGTTCTATAGGAGCCTCAGTGCAAAAGGGTTGTCCCATCCCTCCAGATTGTGGCTTGGATTCCTGGTAACGTATTAGATTTGCAACAGACTTGTATTTAAATGGTTTAGGTTAAGAAGCATAGTGATATGTTTGTTCCCATGAGACTGCATTTTAGTCATTGTTTACTGACTCAGTCTGATTCATCTGTGGATTCTGCCACGTTCTGCAGTTGTAGTCTTTGCCTCTAGGTAGACAGTAGAAGGGACTGGGGAATAACAAGAAAGCAGAGGAAGATCACAATGGGACAAGATATTCAGAACTGGCAACAAGAAATCAAAGTGGGCCTTCCTTCAGTTATGCTCCATTCTCATGCAAAATTGGACCTTTCTGTTTTTCTAGGATGGATTCTCATCCTGTAAGACAGCCTGCAATAGCATGTTTACTGGCTTTCCTATGAAGGAATGAGAGAAAAGTGGTGTCCAGTTCTCAAATCCAAAGGAAAGTTCTTTTTTTTTCTTTGTAATTTGTCAGACTGTAATAAAAAATAAAATAGATTTCTACAGGTTCTTTTAAAATTTTTCTCCAGCTTATAGTCATCCTGCCTGTTAAAAAGTGGAGAAAAAGATTGCCCATGCAGTAGTAATTCAGGATGTGGGCAAAGACACTTTTTGTTTGCTTTATCATGCCAAACCCCTTAAGAGCCCTTCATTATATGGAAAGGTCTTCATGCAGAAGTACTACAGTGGTACTTCTGTGGCCCATTTTGGCTACTGCATAGTCCAAGCAGAGAGATGTATGCTCCAAAGGACAGTGCACCACAGAAGAGGTGATGTGGGAAGTCAATGAAATTGCTGTCAATTTTCCTGAGTGTCTGCTTCATACAGTCCTTAGGAGGTGTTTTCGCCTATGTATCCACAAATATGTATAATTCTGGTTAGGTCAAAATCCAGATGATTGCATTTGGGTTACTAATGGAATTTTCTTCAGCTTTGTTTCCATGTTGTGTTGTATTGCTTGTCTTATTATTTCTCACCTCCCAGTCTAAGACTGAGTAGGATCTTCAGAATGCTGCTTATATTTAGGGATGTGCTTTGCAAGAAAAAAATAAAAAAGGATGTTTTGGCACACTAAAATTTGAGTTTTCAGGTATACCTGTTTGGAGGCCCAAGAGATTTGAGGACAATTTGGTCCGGTAGGAAATCAGGCTAGAGATGGTATATGAAAATATGAATTAAAACTTTCAGAGATGAAAATATAAAACTAATTATCTTTGTTAAGAAAAAGTAAAACCTTTTGCTTCACTCTGGTCAGTTAATATTAGTCTGTAGATATCAAGTTAACTAGTACATGAATAGCAATAGGATAAATTAATAGAGGAGCCTTATGCACATAGACATTTGCTCAGTCGACCAAAGTTCCTAAAGGCTCAGCTGCAAGTCTGGAAACCTAACCACTGGTGTCTAAAACAGAAAATGTCATTTTTGGTTTGTTTTTTTTTTTCTACACTTTGTGTTTAACCACAAAAACAAACAAAAAAAGGCCACAGTTAATGGTCATGGAGTGCTTGAAGGGCATATGTCTTCCCTCATTACAAAGCAAGGATATGTCAGACATGTTTAGCTACAAAACATACATGCAGGAATCACTACGTACCTAGCAGCTGTGAGGATTAAGCGATCTGATCAATCTTTTCTGTATCTCTTTTTAATAATAATTATTTGTACTTTAAAAAAGGAATAACATTTTGTCATCCACATCTAGGAATAGGTGTTGTTTTTTTTTTCCCAACAGAACTCAGAATTCTTATGGCAAAAAAAGGCCAGAGAGCAGACGAGGTGAAATGACAGATTCGGGTAAAACATGAGCAGCCACCTCACAACAAGCAAGTTCATTGCGTGACAATCTTTCTGCACTTCCCCAGGGACTGAGCAGAACGGTTCAAGAAGGAGCAGATGGAAACAGCTGCCAACAGATGAGTACTGGAACAGATTCAAACCACACTACTTGCTGGAACTTGAGAGTTTGTGATGGCCTGAGCTTACCCAATGACAGGTATCTAAGATTTAGAATCAGTCGGTTCTTAGCTATGGGGACCAGAAAACAACCACTATTGTGGAACAAAAGACATGTACAGGGTATTCTCTGAACAAGCCACCAGAGATAATTGCTCACAGAAGTCCTGTGGTGAGAGGAATCTTTTAGGCTGTGGTTGCAGATAGTATTAAAGGTAAAAGAACACCATTAAAGTATTTTTCGTGAATGTGTCTTATCTCATATTTCCTTCCCTCAAAATGGTTGTTTCTCCTGACCTTGAGCTAAGATTTAACAGATAGGGAAAAGATAAATTTAGGAAATCCAGTGACACAATGCTGATACTTTCACGTCTTCTTGCATAATTTCTAGCATACCACGAAGAACAATAAATGGCCAAAGCTAAAGTGTCCTTGGCAAACAAACAAACAAAATAGCACCCTGTGATATTTTTACCTTTGTTTCCTTTCACTACACACACTTTTTACTCCCACAGAGCTTGAAGTATTAACCCAGCATGTTAATTTATTTCTTCCAGAGTTGCCCTGACCGTTGCATTTAACATCTCTCTTGGAAGTACTTCAAACTAAATGGCTGGCTCCATCTCTAGCTTTGTTAATTAGGCACATTACTTTGTTGCTTATTTTCATATCGCTTAATGTAATTGGGATTTGTGAAGCTTTTGAAAAGCATGTTTGGGACTACATTTTGTGCAGCTGGCTTTCAAGTGCAAGCTGTTTCAAGTGTGTGGTTCTGTAGAGAACAGCTTTTGAGAGCGTAGAGCATGTGTGCCTAGCACATACCATGCTTCCTTTCCAAAAGGAACAAAGGTATGTAAGTATGACCTTTTCCATGCAGAGGAACATGTGTGACACATGTACCTCCCTGCATACATTTGTATTTCTATGGTATTAGTCTGCAATTGAGAGCATTACGTGCCCTGTTTGAAGGTCTCCCTTTACAAGCTGTTGTATAACAGCTTTGCTTTATGATGGTCTTCATTCCAACAAGCCTATGGTTTTTCACATAAAAATGCAACTTTGAGCATCCAAACTCAAACCATGAGTTTGTACTTGCTGTGATAATTCCAACAGATAAGGGTAACCTTATGTGTCAACTGCCAATAAGACTGATGAATTTACACTAGGTAGAGATTTGGCTCATTAATTTCAGTTGTCTTGCTGTGAAATGATACTCTCTACTTGAGCTGAGGAAGAGTTAGATATGAAAGTTTAGGAAAAATAAAAATGTATGCACTAAAGAAAAGATGTCAAAGTCCTCTTTTTCATGGAAATGCTGCCCTCCGGTGGTCTGGAGAAAAGCTTACACACTACTTGTTAGTAATAATGTACTTTCCTTTTACACTACAGCAAGCAGCAGCAATCAAAAGTACCTCTTAGTACCACAGGCACATGGATAATGTAGGCTCCAGCCTCAGGAAACCCACAGGTGGCATAAAAAAAGCAAAGTCATTCATAACAGAAAGGTATTGCTTTATTTGGTTTAGGATTCAGAAGTAAAGCATCAATGTGAAAGAAAGGAATTTAGTTTGAAGCACTTCCAAGAGCGATGTTAAATGCAACAGTCAGGGCAACTCTGGAAGAAATAAATTAACATGCTGGGTTAATACTTCAGTATGTAGGTGATCTTTAGGTAGTCCCCTCTACACTTGCTTACCTTTCCCTTATATGGCTTCAAATGGTCTTTCCGAATGGGTAGGATTGTTTCTCAGCTTGTGCTATTCTATACCTGTGTGCTGGGTGGGGGTTACTGTGCACACCAACGTGACTTCACAGAATCATAAAATGAGTCATAGAATGGTTGGGGTTGGAAGGGACATTAAAGGCCATCTAGTTCTAACCCCTCTGACGTGGGGAGGGACACCTTCCACTAGATCAGGTTGCTCAGAGCTCCATCCAACCTGACCTTGAACACTTTCAGGGATGGAGCATCCAGAGATTCTCTGGGCAACCTGTTCCAGTGCCTCACCACCCTCAAGTAGAGAATTTTTTCCTAATATCTAATCCAAACCTACTCTCAGTTTGAAGCCATTCCACCTTGCCCTGTCTCTACATGCTCTTGAAAATAGTCCCTTTCCATCTGTCTTGGAGGCTCCCTTCAGGTATGGGAAGGCTGCAATTAGATCTCCCCGGAGCCTTCTCTTTTCCAGTATGAACTATCTCAATTCTCTCAACCTTTCCTCGTAGGAGAGGTGCTCCATCCCTCTAATCATCTTGGTGACCCTCCCCTGGACTCACTCCAACAGGTTGATGTTCTTCCTGTGCTGGGAGGCCCAGAGTTGGATGCAGAACTGGGGTCTCACCAGAGCAGAGTAGAGGGGGAGAATCACCTCCCTCGATCTGCTGGCCATGATTTGTGCCCTACTGAGGGACTTGGTCACCAGAGGATTGCGGTGTGGTCTTGCTGTCATCTCCTCTTCCTGTGCATCTGCCCCACCTGCCTTCTGGTAAGCAACCAGTCTCCCCCGGGACAATTGCTCACAGCACAGGCCATACAATGCCTTCAAAGACCTTTCATTTCCTCTCTCCCTTTTGTCTTTCTTTTTTACTTAAAACAAAATAAAATACCTCCAAATTTGCACAGTATTAAAAAAAATTCCAATTATACTATTCCTACAGTTTTTTCCTCTGTGTTTTTGTAGAAGGTGCTTGGTAGGGAAGAGTTTGGCTTTCCCAATATATTTTTCCTGCTGTTCGTAGTGTAGGGGGCTCCAGGTGCTGACTGAAGACTGTAAATATTTTGCTGTTTCTGCACCAACAAATTTTCCATTCTAGAAAGATGATAGAACATGGAATTCACCAAGTGACAATTTCAGGGAGAAATGCAGTTTACACCTTGCCCAGCAGATGTGGCTGTTGGACCAAAAAAGGTTCAAGGTGAGTTCAGATGTGTTAGGGAGGACTGTGGAGATTGGGAGACCCCCTTTTACCCCCTTTTACTGCCGTAGACATGCAGCACTAGGTAAGTGTGCTGAGTCACAGACCTCGGAGTGAATCTGACTCCAAACAAAAAAAACACCCCACGCCCCCCCCAAAAATTACAACCTCCCTCAGTCTTCTGATTAATCTCCCTCACTCTTCTAGGTTATTGTCTGCCAGAGTTTTTAGTACTTTTTTTTATAAATACTTACAGTGTTTGCCTCCCTATTGATAAATATGAGGTTATTAATTATTACATAAAATAGTACACTTGTTGATGTTAATATCCTTGTAGAAGATAAAGTTACTGATGTTTTAGAAAGAAAATTGGAGTTCAGTGCCACGCTGACTGTATTGTTGGGAAAACTCTGAGGTTTTCTATCACCCAGTGATTACAGAATAGGTCAGTTTTCATCATTAAGTTACGATGTTAAGGTCTGTATTCAGAAGTGCCTGTGTATGCAATAGGTAGATTTCTGGGTCCATAGGGAAACTTCTGCACTCCTTTTACTGATCCAAGTGGCTCTATGCCAGACATTTTCCTAATTCCTGGTGGGATCTGAGAGGGAAAGGACTATCTGGGAGCTTTTCTGTATTATGCTACAGACCATTCTCTCCCTCAATAGCCCTGAAACCTCAAATATTGAAAGGTCTCCACTTAATGACATTCCCACTTAATGACAAACCTGTTGAGAGGGGAGCACGCTGCATTGATCATGAGGGGAAGTCTAGACTGTTCAACAGTTTTACTGGAAAACAAGTGATTTGAAAGGCTGGAGGAGGGCGAGCTGATAAGCATTAGTAAATAGTGCTCAATGAGGTACTTGGATATGCCTCACAAGACGATCTCTAGGACGTGTTGTCAGAGATTTGCACTCTGACTGTACAAAGACCATTTTACCACCTACTGCTTGCGAAGCCAAGATTGCCACATGCGAGTTATGCGCGATGACCTTCATACCATCTCCTGCTATCACAGGCTCTGTGTCAGCCACACATTTTGGAACTGTTGTAGGCTTTCAGTGCTATTATGGGGATAGTTTCTGGTTTGTATTTTCAAGATCAGGTGAGCACTAAAGCCTGGCATCTTGTTCAGAGGGTTGTGCTCGGGGGATCTGCGTATCTGAAGGCCTTGTGATACAGGCGGGTCAGTGACCAGAGCACGAGCAAAGGGACACAACAATAGGTTTGTCATGGCTTTGCACTGCTATCTGAACACTATCTCAGACAGTATTCTGTGCAATAGTTTGAAACTATTCCTACTAAAGTTGGAAGTTTTGCTGCTGATTTCAAGGAAATAATTAAATTTTTTTAAAGAAATAGGAAATATTAATTTATTCTCATTAAAATTTATGGGGTATGAGCTACAAATGTTTCCTTGTCTTCTGAGATGTAGTTCTTCTGAAGATGATAATACTATTTTTATGAGTAAAATGAGCAGTTTTTGCCCTTTGCATAATTTGAACCTTTCAAATATCTCTGCAAAATATGAAATGTAAAATGAAAACTGTTTTTGCTTCTACATTCATGGGGGTTTGTAAGGTCTTTATCTTGAGTTGACAATGACAAGTCATTTTAGAAGGGCAGCATCTGGTGCAAAGCAACCGTCAACTTAATATTTCTTTAATATTTTTGGATACAGATGACAAAATATTTTTAAAGGAAAAAATTTTATCACAAATAGTTCATATATCTTTTACCTAAAATTGAATCTTCAAGTGAATGTGAAAAATTTCTGTAGCAGTTTCAATGGTAATATGGGAAATGGTGTTTAACATTGCTATTTGAAAACCCAGCAACTTTACTGCACTTTGTTGTGAAATATTCAAAGTAGAAAAAGGATCATCTTCATTTTCATTTATGCAAATTACCTGATAAAAATCTAAAATCAGAGCATTTAGCATATATGTGAAGTATAAATTTATTCCTCTTCACTTTTTCCATAGCAATAGTTTGAATAAGACAAACCAGTAATACTAGGTTTGTCATGCAGTGCTTTCCTAAGTTACCAAATTAAATCAAACATTCCTAAAATACGCACTTATTGTTATGTTCAAAGACAGCTACTTTCCTTTAACTGTATCTGGATGACTTTCTCTTGGGAAGTAGCGTTCCATATGAAACACCAGATAATTGTAATATCTTTAGTGAAGAGCTCCAAACCCCCATTCAGGTAGGCTCTATACTGTCCTGTTGAGGCAGCTTGAGGTAAGGAATGATCTGGTTTGCTGTCACCCCCAGTTTCACCCAGGCTTTGCGTGTTGGTGCAATCTGCGGGATTCAGATTTTTTAAACTCAGATGGTCTTTCTTTAGGTTCTGCATCCTGCAGAATATTGGACTGGAACCTGTGTGGCATAAACTGAAGATTTCAGACTATTTGTTTGTAGCCCATGCTGGAGTGTTTCTGTAGACCAAGACAGGCTGGACTTTGATTCTTAAACTGAGCTCCTGAAGATGTATATAAGCATTCAGGGCTGATCCTACAAGACAAAGTTTGTAAATGTTGAATCAGTCTTACATTTGATCCTAGGTCTGTCAGAACTAAACTCAAGCTCTGAACCAAATATTGCTACCTGCAAAATATTTAGTCATAGACTGGGATATATTTCTGTCAGTAACATGCTGTCCTCTTGATGCACAGGGGGAGTAGAGAAGCCATAGGCATTTGTTTTAAATATATTACCTCAGAAAGAAACAAGAAGAAATAATACAGGGAACAATTTTCCTTATTTAAGTCCCAAAATAAATATATTTTTAACCCAAAAATGTATTTATTAGCACTGATAGCCTTTGGCCCTACTCCAGTGGACTTTTCTCAGTGACATCAATGGAAGAAAGGTGGGCTCTGCATAGGAAATCTATGAATATTTTTTCTTCATCATCCATCCATCTATTTTGGGATGTGCTAAATGCCTGTTCTCTGTTGTAACATTAACATCAGTATGTGGAAACTTGGGTGCTAAAATAAATCAGTGAAATGCAATATACATGACTTCACATGGAACTACGTGTACATTGTTGGGCACAAGCGCCCTGTGCCCGCTCTGCCGTGCCAGCTTTACAGCCAGGTACGCCCTGTTGTGTCCCACATAAGTGGGGTGTTGTGGCAAGGCAGGCATAAACTGTGTGCTGCCAGTATATACAGAGCCTCTGTAGTTCCTGAGCTGGCAAAATGTTTTTTGGTTGCCATTTAATGACAGTAAAATTGATACTTTTACCAACCTCAAATTATATGGGGACGATAAGATCTTTAATATTTCACAAAAGCATTTTTTGTATTGTGGGCCTGATCAAGTGTTTGCTGAAGGCAATGAAAATGTTATTAGTGATGTGTGAGGCCCTGATTTGTGAGGCAACTGTCTCTCTTTAGTGTTTGTAAGTTAGTGATACAGCATCCAACTTAACCAGGGCCATTTTTCTGACCTTAGTAGACACCCTCCTGTATCATGCTAGTATGAATTAGCACATTCTCAAATTCATTTGATTTTTATTTTTACTGGAAAAATGAAAGGGATAAGCTCAATCTTTGTGGGCTGGAGTGTTTCCTGCCCATAGTGAAATCAATAGGAGACCTTTACGAGGTTGGACTTTGAAGATACTGAGGGGACAATCCTGCCTTGGAGTCCCCTCCGATCTGTGGGAGTCTGGCCTGCTCCACCGAATGGTCCTGAGCCTCAACACTGATTTATCATCAACCATGAGCACAAGCATCTGGATGTGGAGGAAATCCCCATGGCTGCTACCTTTTCTGTGCCTCTGGGACAGGGAAAATCAGCAAGCTTGAAGCACAACTCTGCCTCAGGAAGAAGGAGAAGCAAC